CTTCCATTTCTATATTTCCTAGGCACTTGTCAAAATCTGAAAATTCTTTATTCATTGGTTTGTTAATCGGCTTTCCCAATAGATTGTAAGCTCTATGAAGGCAAAGACCTTCTCTTGTTTATAGTTGCATCCTCGACACTTAGCACGATGTCTAGCATGGAGCAGGTGATTAAATACCTGCTGAAAAAATGGAAAACTGCAAATGCAGGGACTTTCGAAATATATATAAAATATTATGGGTCAAAATTTAAGGAATACAGCTAAAGCTATGCCCAGAGGAAAATTTAATGGCATTAAATTTGTTTCATTATATAACATAAAACATTAAGTGTAGAAAGAACACATTCAACTTTTTAAAAAAAAGTTAAAAAATTCAAAACCAAAACCAATTTGAGGCCCTAAAGGAATCATCTAAAAAACTTGAGGACTAACAAAGCAACAACCAAGAATTCGGGAGTGGGGGAGGCTTACAATAGCAAAATGAAAACACATCTGTTTCACTAAATAAAAATATCATGCTCAATGCATGCAAGAGTGCACTGGTACCAAATCATTGGTATTTCAGTAAAACCTAAAAAGAATCAAGTACATGTACACTTAGTATATGAAAAATGTAGCTTTATTTCAAGGCAACAACAACAAATAATTTTGTAATGGGGCTGAAACAACTGGTTTACTATTAAGGAAAAGTAAGGAAAGTTATTTCACTGCATATATTATGTCGAAATAAATCCCAGATGAGCAGAAACAGATAGATACAAAAAATGAAACCATAAAAGAACTAGAAAAAATGTTATCTGGATAGCAGAATCCTTTAAATGCAAAAGCAAAGTGGGTGCCATAAAAGAAAGTATTAACCTAAATTTCTTAAAAGGTAAAAAATCTTGCATGGTAAAACAAAGAGACAGTGAAAGAGAGAAAAAAAAAGAAAAAGAAAAAAACACTGTAAGCAAATAAAAGGCAAATGAAGAGCCAAGAAAAATATTTTCAGTATATGGCAAAGTGCTGCTATCCTGAGGCTAAAAAGGGTATCACAAATATAAAACACCACCCAAAATGGGCAAAGGCAAACTAGAAGATGTCCAATATCTATATCTCTATTTACCATCATAATTAATCAAAAAAGATTTAATAAATCCCATAAAAAGGGAAGGAAGGATGGACAGATGGGTGGATAGATCACAGTGTCAGTAAAGATACACAGGAAATGTGAGCTGGATGCAGTGGCTCACGCCTGTCATCCCAACTACTCTGGAGGCTGAGACAAGGAAATCACTCGAGGCCAGTGTCACTTGAGGCCAGGAGTTTAAACCAGCCTGGGCAACATAGTGAGACCCTGTTCCTAAAAAAAAGAAAAGAAAAAGAAAAAAGAGAAGAGGAAAAGAAAAGAGAAGAGAAGAGAAAAGAAAAAAGGAAAGGAAAGGAAAGGAAAGGAAAGAAAAGAAAAGCCGGATGCGGTGGCAAATGCCAGTAGGCCCAGTTTCTCTGGAGGCTGAGGCAGGAGGATGGCTTTAGCCTGGGAGTTCAAGACTGCAGTGAGTTCCAGCCCAGTTCCACCCTGGGTGATAGAG